AGTGGCTGCTGTGAGAATCAGCAAAAAAAACGAAAGCTGCCGATACTGAAATCCTCTGTAATATGCTCTTTGCCCCATTTCTTGTAGTGCTGTCTGCTGAAAAACTTTATTTGCAGCAGAGAAGGCTGCCGGCGACCCACGACGCCACTTTCGTTCCCAGTTGTGTGGAAGAAAGCTGAAGGGGACGGGATTGTAAAGCCCGTAGAAAACCAAAAAGGGCATTAAAAAACGCTAAAGTCTGCACTTGTATACTGAAAAATGGTTCATATGGTGTCTAACTCTTCCTCGATGAGCCCAGGGTCCAGCCACATTGCTGTAGTTTCTACGGCGGCAACCACAGCCCGGGTGGTGTGGTGGGCTGCATGGGGTCATATGGTCCATTTGCCCAGTTGAATTAGAGTAAATGACTCTTTGCCAATCATCTGAATGGTTTGGGGGTGGTTGCGGCTCGCCTTTCCTTCCATTTTAACTATACCCACTGTCCAAGTCTGGACACGTCGAAAGGCAACAATGTATTGTGGAACTTCCAGGATTGCGCCTGGCTTAGCAGGCAGTCTCTTTCATGCTAAAAATTGATTGTTGTGAGATAATGCATGAATTTTCATAGGGTCTGTGGGTTTGTGGGTCAGTCGCTTCCCTGGTCGCTCACTCAGTCAGGATGGGGTACGAAAAGTGCACTCTACGCCTCCGATATGATATGACTTAAAAACTGCTCTATCTGAGTTCAGACAGAGAAGTCTGAATGCTGTGGATGCGGATATTTTATATCTGGATTCACGAACAATGCTAAGTCTTTTGATTTGGCGCACACCCCAACGTGTGTGGGCTACTGGGGAGGGGTTTGGTGAGGAGAGTAACGATGAGAGAATCAATGTAAGATTCTTTCATTGTTGGTTCAGAAGCGAAGGTATCAATATGTGTGGCTATATACATGATGGCTGCAACGCATTCACGGGGTCCTTGGTCCCCATATGGGAAGATTACGAAGCAGGGGAAGTCTGACTACCAGTGGAGGTTTGAAAAGAGAAATACTTACACCTTTAACTTCTCCTGTTGCCTTTGGACTGATCTCAGGGATCAAAATGCACGCGATTTGGTGCATCAAGCAGCTGGCGATGCGCTTGAAAGTATGTACAAGATAGGGTGTAGCGTCACTAGCTAGCTCCAATGTTTCTACCGGGTTTTACAACAATTTTGTGGAAATATTTGGTTTTTCATGATCTGTGTACAAGTAAATTTTGCGAGACTACTTTGGACGCTGCACCTATGAAGCTCATCGCCTGCTCGTCTGTATGGGTGAGTAATCGAGGTAGCAACTTGATGGCAGCAAAACTTCATTTCAGGTGCACTTGATGGATGCAGGGCTTCAAATTGCACCGTCTTGTGCTTTCCTCAGCCACAAGCGTACTGCAAAGCACTTCAACCGAGTAAAGAAATGGCCTTGAGAGGTCACTGCACACAACGGCACAACGAGAAGTAAAGAGTGTGAGAATGCAGGGCTTTGTGAGTGGATAGGCCCTGCAAATCCCAGAGACAAGTCGAGACTTCGTGGTTGGCGCTGAACTGAAAGCAAACAGAGGCTCTGTGCACGCTGAGGTGTCTCTTTCCTTTGAAGACTCCTCAGTCTCATTTTTTCGTCATCTCGGAGCTGCTAGCTAGTTCTCCCATTAGAGCATCGCCATTTTTAGAGATATTTGTCCTACAGGTAAAACATTGGAATTTCTGCAGCCGCTGATAGGAACTCACGTGGTCACTATGCTGGGTTTGTTGCACACGTGGGTGAAGTATCCCGAAACGCGTATTTTTGGTCAGCCGCCCATACTGCAGCACTTAACGGGTTCGACGTGTGCCTCTGAATTGGACAATTTGCACCAACCAAAGAGTCCTCACCGGAGCTGTCAGAAGAACAGAAGCTCCTAAGGTTAGAAGCAGACCTTTTGGAAGCGTTAACTAAGGACCCTCCTACTCCGCTTGGGAGGCTTGATCACCAGGCATTCTCTCCGGCATCTGGAAGCGTGAATATATCAGCCAACAACAAGAACACCGTCTAGCACTTTATTGTGTTGAAACCCCAACTCGGAATATTGCTGAGTGAGGAATTCGGCAACTCTCTTCCAATGCATCCAAAACCCGCAAAACATGAAAAAAGCAGCCTCTAGAGGACTCTTTTAGAAACTTGGTAGTTTTGCTTTTTCAATATAGGACTGGATTCACGGCGGTGCGGCAGGAAGATGATTGGTTAGCTGCCAGGCCTATATTTGCCGCAGTGGTTGTAACTGTAGGACACCCTCGTTGTGAGCGACGGGGTGCTGATTAACCAAAGGTTCTAAAGCAGGCTCAGTATCCTGTTACAAAATTAAATACTACAAAAGACAGCAAGAACTGAGGGGACGCGATGTAACACAGAATATACAGCATGAGTTGCGGCTCTAGTGGAGGGCTTCGAATTGCGAAGTCGTCAGGGGAAGAGATGAGTCATTACGCTGCCTCTTCGTGAAACTCCCTAGGGATTTATGCGTGACAGTCCTAAAGGGTGTAGTGCCTATCTCTACCATGTTGCTCTAGCACAACCCCATAAGACTCTAACATTTATTGCTTTACACATAAGGCATTATTAGAGAGCTTATAACTACAAGAACCTGGCTCTTTCAACAGACTCAGCCTAGGGTGTTTGGGGGGAGAACCAGGGATCGAGGCTAGCCGCGTCACATGCACAGCCTGCGGGCGCAGACACATACTTAGGCACATCAAAGACCACGGGTAGGCCAGAACAGAAACAAACTTTAATTATCCTGGTTTTCCTGTCAATTTGAGGTTTTTTTGACATTTTGGACTTGGAAGTACCCATGTAGTGAGTGGGGAAACGATGTACGAGTGAGGCGAGGCCGCGCTCAACATAAAAGGCCAAGCAATACAGGCTTTCTGCCTTGGCTTGCGCATTGAAGTCTTGGCTAGCCCTGAGGGAGAGATGCAAAAAGGCCCTGCATGAGACACGTCCAGAGAGAGTGAAAGGGAGCTACAGTCGATGCGCAACGCGTAGAGGTGTGGCCCCAATGAGGGTTCAGAGAAGAAAGTCAAGCGAGTGCCATGAGTGTGAAGAAACAGGGAAATGAGCAAACACGATATTAGTTCCGTACCCGCCGTTCGGCGGCTTGCATGTTGCTCGTCAGTCAAAGTGTGGCTGTTGACCAGCACTGTGTTCAAGTTCATGCATGTTTACGTAAAAGAGTTCCACTTTTTCTCGACCATTATTTCGGCAAATTTTTTGTTTGCTGAGCACCTGGGGAGAAAGAAAACCAGACAACTTCTTCGAGAAACCTGAAAAAACCTGGGAGAATTCGGCAGTGTGCCAGAGTCTATCCTTCATTCGGCAGACATACAGCGCTGGTTAAAGGCAGCAAAGAGCCTTAACAGTCTGTACTTACTGACACATCAGACAAGCGTCTTAAGGAACGAGCACAGGCACTGTAAATGATGATCATGCTAGGAGCTAATGAGGCAGCTTAGGGCTGATCTCAGCATTTTCGACAGCGCCTGTCACCATAGAAAACTACCCCAGACACGAACTGCCTGCTTGGACCTTTTTAAATGTATGGTGGCGTCTTCAGTGAGTTGCCTTACTTATGCGCCTGTGCAACTAGGGCAGGAAAGGTACGCAGCAACCAAGCTGGCCTCAACCCACCAAATTTACCGTCCTCCGCGGAGTACGCTCTAGCGTTTCAAACCAGATGATTCTTCCCCCGCTTTTGAAGCCACCACGGGCACAAATTTTTATTTGAGTTTATCTGGTCAGCATTGGCTAACAAATTGCACCAGCTTGTTGCCTGAAGCGGGTTCTACCTTTTTTCTGGGCCCCCCTCTTTCCCACAATGTTTTCAGCGCGACAGCAGTAGTGTCGCGGTTCATTTTAAATCTAGAGACAGAATGTTGATTCCTTTGTACACCACAGAATACGTATTATACGCAACTAGCTCAGCTGCAATAGTTGGGGGAGCTAGGACCGCATGGTTGCATTCACCTACAACAGGGGCAGCACTACTTCCTGGTGGTCGACACGGCATTAAAAATGTTCCACTAGACCTAAAAAGACTGAAATCATTACTAAATTAGTTTTGGCGTTGCGGCAGACTCATGTTCAAATTGAGACGGGCGGGTCGCGAGAGTTCCGTTAGTGAGAAGCGCTGGTGGCGTTTCCCGTAGGGGTATCAGCTGGCAACAGTTCTTTTGCAATAAGCACTGTTAGATGCAATCAAATAATTGGATATGCATGTGGCTAGAAGTAACTTTCAAGAGAGGCGGACTCATTATAAATTCATTTTTTCTGCTACGGTCTTCCCAAATAACGCAAAGTATCTCTCCGTCCTCTGGCCTGAAATGCTTCAGTTACACTTTGAACACGGAAGTGCAATTTGGACGGCCCCAAACCTTGCTGGATTGGATTAATGACTAGACTGGAGTTCAAGTCCGTCACTGCATCCGGCCGCTACACCTCCAGTTGCTACGGGCCCCACTGCGAAATCCGCTGGTGCTGCCTCCCTAGTATTTGCTAAAAAGACACTAATTATTCAGCAAATTAACTAGGGCAACACTGCTTTCTCGCTGCCACAGTTGGCAGCCGCATAGTTGGGTCCAACACGGCGTGCCCAAGTAGTTCAGTAGATGCTGGCTAAGGTATGATTACCATCAAATTGTTAAGCAGAACTCTCTGTAAGGGTGATGACCTGGGAGATTGATTTGTTACAGTAATGTGTGAAGTGCTAGACTTGAAGCTGCCTCGCAGAAGGCCCCGATTCCGCATGCAAGTAGAGTTGGAGCCTACCTTCGTGGAGTTTTAATATGAAGTTTGGCTGTTCATTTTGTTTGATCTTCTTTTTTTGTGTTATTTTATTGAGCTGACCGGCCCACGGATCCCCTACCCGAAAAATTTCAATCACATTTCCTCCTAGCCCCCATGCTCATGCATGTGCAGCAGTACTGAGGCTCAGTGCTGACTTGGAGGGATGGTTCGGGTACTTCTTTGCGGCGAAGTCCGCGGCAGGGTCAGAGAGCTGCACAGAGTGCTGCAGCAGCTGCAGAATAAGGGGCCCTTTGACTTCGCGCTGTGCTCAGGGTCCTTCTTTGCAGATCCGCATGACTCGGAGGCAGCAGCTGCATGCAAGGACTCTTCAACACAAGTGGTGAAGTCTGAAAGCTCCGACCTCCCCGAAAAGGCAGATCAAAGTGACGTGGCAAGGGCTGTCCGTGCTGAACTGTCGCAGCAGTTCGCAGCAGGTTTCGCAGAGTTGCAGCACTGCTGCAGCTCCCTTCCCCTCCCCCTGTACATCCTCGACAGGGCCGCAAGCGAGTGCGCACAGAGACTGAGTGCTCGGGTGGACAGGGGAGGCTCTGCTGTGGCTGTTAGAAGCGGGGAAGCGGCTCCCGAGAGGACCGCAAAGGAGGAATCTGCTGCTTCCGCTGCTGCTGCTGCTGCTGCTAGGCCTGCAGCAGCCGCTGACAGCCCTTCTGGAAATGCTTCTGATGTTCTGGTGGAGAAGAATGGTCAAAATGAGGAGAAAAATGGCATCAAATCAACTGAACTGTCACCTGCACAGCCGCAGGCGCCTCCACGTGCTCCCAGGTGTACGTACTCCCCGTTGCAGCTGCTCGACAACGTGTGGCTGCTGGCTGGCGCTGGTGTTGCTCAGCTGGAGGGCCTCAATGTTGCCTTCTACACTGCGCAGCAGACTGCTGAATCTCCCGGCTGCAACTCCAATGGATCCAATGACCAGCAGCAGCAGCAGCAGCAGCAGCAGCAGCATGAGAACGGCACGGCCGGAGCCAAGTTTATCTCGAGCCTTTTAGATGGGTGGGGAGGCTTCAGGGACTTCAGAGGCAGCACAGACCTCTTCGTGACAACTGAGCCCTTGCTGGGAATGTTTGACGGGCTTCCCCCGGGGGTGGCGCCAGCGCGTTTTACTCAGCAGCAGCAGCCGCAGCAGCAGCAGCAGCCGGAGCCGCAGCAGCAGCAGCCGGAGCCGCAGCAGCAGCAGCAGCAGGGTGAGCATGCTGGCCTAGAAAGTAATGTTGTGAAAGAGGAGGCAGCAGTTGACTCGGAGTCTCCTGAATTTCATTTTCGCTTGTGGGTCATCCTTTATTAGTTCTGCATGCCAAATGGCTTTTAAGACTTGAGTTAAATATCTTCGTCACTTTTAATCTGCAGCCAACACCTGCGAGATAGCCTTTTATTGTAGCTGCTTGTGCTGCTGTGGCATGGTGATACGCTTTATTCGCCGCAAGTCCCGCCGCTGTAGCTGCTGCTGCTGCTGCTGCTGCATTTTGCTGTGATTCTGGGGTGGGGCTGCTGCTGCTGCTGCAGCGAAAGCAGCTGTCTCGCGGACTTCCTCGAGCCCCGCCATATCATCTGCAGCGGCTTAGGCCTTTTCTGGCAAAGACCTTTTTTTAGGGGAAGGCATTTTGGTAAGGATCTGTATGTTCCCTTTGCTGCAGCCGTTTGTTGCAGCTTTTTGCTGCGGCTTTTTGCTGCTGCTGTTTGCTGCAGCGGTTTGCTGCAGCTGCTTGCTGCAGCTGTTTGCTGCAGCTGCTTGCTGCTACGTGTATTACTCTGGCAACTCGGCTGCATGGACAGCATGCACTCAAGTGCTGCACAGCAGTACTGAGTGCATGCAGTCACTTGCTGCTGCTGTGCAGCAGCACGTTTGAAGGCGGGATAGGGGTGTCCCAGCTGCTGCTTTTGCTGCTGCTGCTGCTGCTGAGTGCCGCCAGGCTTGCTGTTGCTGCTGCTGCTGCTGCTGCTCAGGGTACACAATGCGTCTAATTTCTCTGGGGGTCGTTGGCGAGAAGGGGCCCCACGTGAAGGCTTTTCATGCACTGCAGCTGCGCCCCACAACTGCGATGCTGGATCTTTTGAAGCAGCAAGAGAAGCAGCAGCAAGGGGAAAGTGAAGGGGCTTCCCGGGGCTTTAAACAAGAGCAGCAGCAGCAGCAGCAGGCTGCTGCTGCAGCAGACGCAGTGGAAGAAGCCCGCGCTGCTCTGTTCTTCGTGCCCATTGAGTGCAACAGCCCCAACCCCTTCATCTGCGCTGTCCGCCAAAGACAGTTGCTGCTGCACTCTCCGCCCCCCCAGGAAATGTGGGCCCCCGTGGCCCCCGGGGGCCCTTCGCCATCTGCAGGTGGCGGCCTGCAGGGGCCCCCGAGGCCCCCCAAGAGGCCCCGGGAAACGGGCGTGGTGTTGGTGGAGAATCTCCCGTTTGAACTTACAGAAGAGGGGCCCCTTAAGAAGGCCCTGGAGCGGTTTGGGGCCATTAAATTCATTTTTATGCCAAAAGACAAGACAGATCCGACGAAGGGAACAGGGAAGGCGTGAGCCTGCGAGAACGACTTAGCTGCTGCTGCTGCTGCTTCGCTGGTTGCTGCGGCTAGTGCTGCATTTTTGCAATGCAGCATTTGAGCAGAAGCTCTTCTTCTCTTCTTGCATTTGCATGCTGCTTCTGCGTCTTGTACTTGTTTGCGGCTTTGCTTTCTTCCAGATATGTTGTCTACTTCGATCCCAAGGACGCAGCGAGCGCCACCGAAGCCTCCGGCCAGTTGGAAGGGGGCGGCCGCTCTCTGCGGCTACGGCTGTATTACGACAAAATTCCCTTCGATAGGCCCACGGGGGCAAAGAGCATCAAGTGCGGAAGCGTAATAGCCACGGAGCCTCATGCAGATTGTTGGTTCTGTCTGGCGAACCCGCAGGTCGAAAAGCACATGATTGTTGACATAGCGGACCGTATGTACACTGCAGTTCCCAAAGGTGGACTCACACCTCTCCACATGCTTCTCATTCCCATTGCGCATTTGCCCTCTCTGGCCTACGCGGACGCTGAGACTCGCCGAGAAGCTGCGGCGCTCATCAGAGCTGCTCGCACCGCATTTCATCAACAGGCAAGGCTACATCTCACGACAACGCGTAGCCCAGAGTTGCGGCACAAAGAAGCCGCGGATACTTGCAGGTCCTGTTAGTAACAGCCACAAAATGGACAAACGAATTTTCTCGTTGCAGACGCACTGCACATCTGTAGAAACAGTCTGTTGCTGTTCAGCCCGACAGTGACTGCTGCAACCACCTTTGATAGCTTGAAATTGCATATACGCAGTTTTTGTGAGCCAGTGGGAACAGTTTGCTCAAGAACACATGAAGTGTATGAGTAGCTCTCACAGTCCTGGGCAGAAGCCCGCAAAGTCGGATATTATCTCATACTTTATAGGGGTTAAGCTGTAGCTTTGTGGTTCAAGTTTTTGTTTTTTGCAGAATCTCGATTTGGTTGTGTACGAGCGCTACGTGCCAATGAAGGCGACCAAAGCCATGCACTCTCAGCTTCACGCAATTCCGTGCGACCGTTCACAGGCCCTTCAGTCAGGGGAGTTGTTCGAGGTTCGTGTTTGTATCTATCGCACCGTTTCCTTGCTTTCTCAGTTTTTTGAGTTTTTCTTAAGGGACAGTCAGTTGTAAATAGAACGCACAAGAAGTCGCAGTGTTCCACCCACCAGATCACTTGCTTAGCAGAGTACGGCGCGGGCCTGTAGCAGCGCACGCGCAAGCATCCCTGCGAAGATCTTGGCGCATGTTGGCTTGGGATGCGCAGGCTAGTGGAACTGAGATTTGTGTTTTGTGTTGCGTCTGTGGCGTCAGAAACGGGCGAAGCGAGCAGGCCTTTCTCTGCAGAAGCTGCCAGAAACAGCAGACATCACTTCCCTTTCAGAGCTGGCGAACGACCCCTGTTTGGGTTATTTTTACGTTGAGGTTCCTGGCGTCTTAACGGCGAAGGGACAGACAATTGATCGCTATTTGCATGTGCAGCCGGGGAGAGACAGCGGGAAGATACCCATGACCTTTGGCCGGGAAGTCATGGCAGAGCTTCTGGGGCTGAGAGACAAAGTCAACTGGCAGGCGTGCCTTGTGCCTAAGGACGAAGAGGCAAAGCTAGCTGCAGCACTTCGTGACGTTCTAGGGGCCAATTAGAAGCGGCACCTTAGTTCTCTCCGAGTGCCCTGTTTGAGCAACAGCTCAGCACTGTGGGGAACATGTACTGGATTATGACTGACCTGGGTTCGTGTTTCCACGTGCGTATTCGGAACACCTGGTGCTGCACAAAAGTGTTCATTTCGATGCTTTGGCGTACCTGGTCTTCAGCTGCCTCTTACTGTTAGCTGTGGGGAAGTTGCCACAGTAAACGCTGAAAGTGCCTGCCGTTGCAGAAGCCGGTGGACTGATAAGAAAGTACTGCGGGAAGGATGCGCAGATACGCCTTCAGCGAGTACTTTAGGAAGGTCATTTACATACTGTAAAGCTTTCCTATTTGTTTGGAATAGAGTTCAAAATGTGAAGTTTTTGCATTTGTGGATGCAACAAGAGGACTCAAGGAGGTGGCACCAGTTGTCAGCTAGCTGTCACAGTGATAACGTACGGCCCGTAGCAGCTAGCTACAGCCAGCGAACTATTCAAAATATTATTTGCAGTTCCCACATTCTGCATTGCTTTCATGAAAATTCTGCAATTCTTCAGGCAGAGTATGTGTAAAACGCCGCAATTCATGTACTCCATAGTGAAGAGGCACGATGTAGCAGTACGTTGTAGCGTCTGTGACTCAGTGACTACTCGAAGGTGAGTGTTAAATGCTGTTCATAATGCGAGCTCTTTCGTGCAAGTGAAATGCTGCACTCAGTGCGCGCCCTGTCCAGTTCAGATCCAGATATGCTCTTGCTGCGTGGCTGCTGTCTATGCCAGCTGCTGCAGTTTCTGGGCCGGTGAGGTAGAAACAAAAGAAAATAGGAAAGCGATTGTTTTGTAGTGCACTATGGAAGCACTGGTTGTGCTAGTTCAATTCGCAGGCATTTAAACTTGAGGGAGAATAGGTATTGTGGCTGCTTGTAGCTGGTACGGGTTGTGGCAGAGAAGTTCCTCTGCTCACCTCCACGACAAAGACACTGAGAAAAGAGCAGCTGCGCATAAGTTGGCCACTGATTGACAGCCAGAGTGGCCTGTAGTGCCCATAGCTGTTCTCAATTAACCCATTCTAGTAAGGATTACTGGGGGCATGCGGAGACTTTTTCTGCTACAGGTTTGCACCTTTGTTGCCCGATTGCTGACAGGCAGATACGGGCTTCGGACACACCCTTTGCAGGTATTAAATATCGTTAATGATACCAGGAGCGCCACTAACTTAATGCCTCGTATTGTTTCGTGCAAATACGTGTGGCTGAATGCTTCAGTATGCATCAATCTCTCGGAAGCTGTGGGAACTTGCACTAGTCATGTTTGAATACAGTCTTGACTATAACTTCGTAAGATGCTACTGCGCGCCCTGATTTCTCCTCTCTCTCAATAAACCTCGAACGAAACGCATTCAGTCTAATGGATATCAAGTTTCGTTCCTACCCACACGACACTTAACAGCTCTCGCAAACCTAGAGAGGTCAAACAAGACAAAACAAACGCAATTTCGGAAAAGGAACTTGAAAAAAATTAAAAATAAGCGTTCAGATTGCACAACGGTGTTTCCGAGCAACTGGAAATGAGACAGCGAACAAAACCAAGTGTTGCTGTAATTGACTACAGAATGCCAAGAGTATACTCTCCTAGTAAAACTTGCTTTGCCAAACGAAGGTAGCCCTCAGCCATGCACTGTGAACAGACCGTGAACCCTTGACGGAAGTGAACAAAAAGAGCAAGAAATTGTGACAAAATGGAGCAAAAATAGGTTTCTGTCGCTCGAAAAGTGGGGAGTACACGGGTGTACGAAGTTTTGAACCATCGATATCTGGAGTGCAAACTCGAAAAACGCCGGAGTACTGTGTTCTATATTCCCTGACCTGGGCAGTAAATGCCAAACTTGAAATATAGATCTTCAAGTTAGACTGTTTACCTTTCTGTAGATGTTGCTCTGAGCAGCTTTGTCAGGGGGTTGCCGCTGGCGACAAGCCATCACTAGTGTGGGACAGGCATTTGTTTCGTCGTTTCGCGAATTAGAATTCCTCTTAAACGAAAAACTGCAGGGGAAATAGAAAATGAGATAAGAAATAGTTCATTCTCCTGAACTACTTGTGGCCTCATTCTTGTTTCAGCCTCGAGACACGACTCCTGGTTGCACCCCCCGCGCTGGTGTACTGCTGTCACGCTTCCAGCAGCCTCAGCCATTATGTTCATTTCAGTTTCCTCCTTCTGTTGTCTGAGCTGTCCTTCGGGGATTTGAACTTTCTTTGCACCAAATAAAACGCGAAAATGCCGTTGAACTTGGGAGATTCCTTTCCAGACTTCCAGGCGGAGGCGCTGGGCGCCGAGCACTTCCGCTTGCACGAGTACTTGGGGGACAGCTGGGGAGTGATGTTCAGGTAAGATTGGCGTAAAAAAGCCCCATTTAATCGCATTTTTAATTCTGTAGACTCTGTGTCGACTGCTGAGCACGAGGGGGGGGCCTGCTGCACGGGAGAGCCTTGTCTCGCGCTCAACTCTGGGTTTCTGGCGTTGCTTGCAGCCACCCGAACGACTTCACTCCCGTTTGCACAACGGAGCTCGCCGAAGCCGTGAAGCTCCAGGACTCCTTCACGAAGAAGAACTGCAAACTCGTTGGCTTCTCCTGCAACGACCTGCAGAGCCACAGAGTGAGCTGCTGCTGCTGCTGCTGCGGCGCTGCGACCCGCAGCCACAAGAACACGCGATCTCCCGTCAATCTACCCAGCGAAGCAGCAAACAAGAGTCTTTCAAAGTGCTGAGCAGTCGAGGGCAAGTGCTGTGCTCGCTGCAGTGGACTCTCCTGTTCTTGCTGCTGCTGCTGCTGCTGCTGCTGCTGCTCAGGAATGGGCGAAGGATATAATGGCCTATGCAGGCCGATCTGGGAACTTGCCGTTTCCCCTCGTTTGCGACCCCAATAGGGAACTGGCCGCGAGTTTGGGAATTATGGATCCTGCAGAAAAGGACAAAAAGGGGCTGCCTTTGACTTGCCGCTGCGTCTTTTTCATAAGTCCAGAGAAGAAGCTCGCGGCCTCTATTTTGTACCCGGCTACCACCGGGAGAAACTTCGCGGAAATCCTTAGGGTCCTGGACTCTCTGCAGGCATGCCTTTTAGTTTTTCTTGCGGCTGTTTGTCTTAGTGGCATTTGAATTGCTTTTGTTGCCGTATGGCCCCTCGTTTTAAAGAGCTGCTTCTCCTGTGGCTGTTTGTCTTAGTTGCACTTGAACTGCTTTTGCTGCTTCATACTTGTGACCCCTCGTTTTGAAGAGCTGCTTCTCATGTGGCTGTTTCTCGTAGTTGCATTTGAATTGCCCTTCGTTTCAAAGAGTTGCTTCTCCCGTTGCTGTTTGTCTTAGTTGCATTTGAACTGCTTCTGTTGCTCTATGACCCCTCGTTTTGAAGAGCTGTTTTTGTAGGTGATTCAGTGAATACTTTTTAGCAAATCCCGTTTTATGTACATTTATTTGAAGTTAATTTTTAAATTAGTTCTTTTCCGTACACTTATTTGAAGTTAATTTTCAAATTCTTTTCTTTCTTCGCAGCTCACTGCCAAGTTTCCAGTGGCCACTCCAGTGGACTGGACCGCTGGGGCCAAATGCTGCGTAGTGCCGAACTTGGCAGCAGAAGAGGCCCAAAGGCTTTTGCCCAAAGGCCACGAGGCGCTGCAGCTGCCTTCGGGGAAGCCTTACCTGCGGCTCACCCCAGACCCCAGGGGCTGAACGTTCTGCATGCAGCTGCAGCAGCTGCATGCAGCAGCAGTGCAGCTGCAGCTAAAGCTTTCAAGAGTTCGTCGAAATGGCGGGGCTGGAGCTGCTCTCAAGGCAGCAGCTGCTGCCTTTGTTGACAATCGAGTTGGGTTTCAGGATCTGCTGCTGCTGCTGCCGTGCGGAAACAGGTAACTGCATGCAGAGCCAGTTTGTACTGCAGCAGTGAGCCAGCAAATGCTAGCAGCAAAACTTTGGCGCGAAAGAAATGCCATTTTGGACTTCTGCGCAAAACTTAGAGCTGCAAATCTGCAGCTCGCTGGCTGCTGCTCGTTTGGTCAAGGAACTTGTTCTAGAAAACTGTTTTATATTAGTAACTGGTTGACAGGCATGGTGCCGCAGCAGGCGCATCTGCAAGAGATGCAGCCCTTCAGAAACATTTAATTGATGCTGTGTGGGATTTAGACTTATCAGAGCTAGTTGTACAAATCTGTTCAGCACCTTGCCGGCCAAGTCCAGCAGCTGAGCCACCATGGGCTACGGGCGCTGGGTGGTGCTGGCTGTTCTCATGAATGAGAGATCTTCCGCAGCCCTAAGTGGATTCATTGTTTATCCCTTATCACAGAAATGCAGATGCGCTAGATTTTGCAGAGTTTGGAGGTGTATTAACTGCGAGAGGGCTGTGGACCCTAACTATGTCGTCAAAAGGGGGAGTGGTGCGAGGCTGGCATGGGGTGCCCACGCGGCTTCATGTGGATATTGCGAGTGTTAAATGCGCGATAAAAAGGGAAATTGTATGCTAGAATTGAGGACAAAACGCAGGGCTCATTGCTGCAGTCAGTGCCATACGCTGAAGAGGTAATGCACGCCCAACAGTGCCTCTAGTGGCTGGGCGCACCCTAAGCCTGTGATCCTGTGGCTCTTGTCACTTCTTTCCCTTGGAAAAGGCATCAAAAATTACTGTTAACGAAGAGCCAAGGAAAGGTTACCTTCCAGGGGTGAGAGAAAGCGCTTGAGGGAGGGCACTTCAGGTTGCAAGATTGTCTGAGGCACTGGTGGCCTCATTCCACGGAAGTGCTTTCTAAGTGGTTGTACTGGCCCATGGCATCATTAAAATAAACAACTAATATTTTATGCAGTTTTACACAAATTTATCGCTGTGTTGTGAATGTCCTGCCCCCGTAGCAGAAACCAGCAAGGAATCATAAAAGACCATGTATTTCATAGAGATCGAGCCTGCGCGTTTCGATTGTGAAAGAGGTGAAACCAAACGCTCAAACTCGTCCGTTTTATTTGTTAAAACGGTAACATGTCAATTAAACTCGATCTGTCGGATTGATTTCACGGTTTATGTCCATTTAATTCCGGTTTCGAGAGGTCATTCGGACGGCGCTGCTGAAGTATCGGACCACCACAGCATTATGCTGCCGGAGGCCTGCCCTAAAACTGGTTTTAAAAGTTGTAACCTGATCTATCTAGATATTTAAATGGTATCAGCTTGAAATTCCATTTGTTTCTGCTCTGTGTCGCGTCTGTGGCTAGGTTTGAGTCGCAGCTATGTGGCTGGTTGGCGCTCTACTGGTTAGCTGCTGGCGGCTGCTGCTGCCGATTCATTTCTTGTCCATTTATTTCTTTCTATTCTGGAGCACTGGCACCTCACAATCATTTATTTTCTCTTTGTAGATTAAATTTCAAGTTGCCATTGCCCCTTTCTCGTAAGTGTAGTCACTTCTTCACAGAGTGACCTCGCGAAGCGCCGCTGGCAGCATCAGGCTCCAGTTTCGCTTTAGGGAATCTCCTGCGAGTGTTACCTGTGGAAAGTTACATTAATATTTGTTTCTTATCCGTCTATATCAGTAACAACTGGATTCTTGCAGAGGAAGCCAGCCTTTTTCCCAGTTGTCCCAGTTGCGATCTGCACAGCTCACTCTCACAGCACCGCGCCTTCCTCTGCCACGTTTCCACATTGCAATTCTGAGCATTCCAGACGCATTAAAGTCCCCCTAACATTTTTTTCTATCGTTTGAAGTCTAGAAAGAACCATACTTGTTGTGTGCAGGCAGTGGGCAGCTGCCGCCGTCTCTGCCTCAAGCCAGCGCCTGTGTGCTCCATAGATGAGCTGCATTCACAGGAAAACCAGCCAATTGCCCGCTTAATTATGAAAGCACGCATTCAACGTGATTTAATATGTTTTCTGTGTCTGTCTGTCGCTCTTTTCCCCGATTCTCCGCGCAGCAACCAGCAAGATGGCCGCGTGGATTGCTGTATTGTCGCTGTTGTCGCTGGCGGCTCCGCTGCAGCGCGCTGCGTGCATCGGGAAGTCGCCGCCGGTGGCCGCGCCGTTCTCGAGGTCCGCCACTGCGGGGGAGCTGCAGTCGCTGATCAACAGCATCAAGCTGGCGGTGGACAGCCGCGTGATCGCCACTGCTGCAGTGCCGCTGCCTTCTTCCAAGGGAGCCAACAGCGTGGTGATATCTCGCGGGAGTTTCCAGCGCGCGAGCCAGCCCAGCGTCGCCACGTTCAGCAGCGGCGGCAGCCTCGGGCTGCCCCCCTGTTCCAAGTGCAGCATGAACGGCGTGACCAGTGGTCCCAGTGGACCCGCAATGGACATTCAAATCGACACTGTCCTCCCCTCTCCGAACGGCGGCAGCACTGAGGTCATCATTGAGGAGACCTTCGCCAGCAGGGGGGGGAACGGCGGCAACAACTTCGCCCCTGCCCCTTGTGAGTTGGCTCATCTGCAGCATTTTTGAGGGCCAGTTGCTGCTTTCTTTTCTGTTTTCTTTTGCATTTTCTTCTCCCCTCATCAAGTATTTCTCTTTCTTTCATTCTCAAGTGCCAGTTGTTCGATTTTGCGCTTCTTTCCGGCAGTTCCAAGTCCGTCTTTGCGCTGCATTCGCATGCAGCAGTTGTTATTCATCTTTTTCTCTCGCACAACTTCGAATCTGTGTGTTATTTTGCCCATTCTCTCGTTCCAGTTGTTCATTTGTTTCGTTTTAATTTGGCATTTGTGCATTTTTGCAACTTTTTCATCATTCCAAGTTTGCACCTGCACTGCATTCCTGCACGAGAGTGGTTCAGAACCTGAATGCGCAGAGTTCTGCGCATCCCTCCGTTCCTTTTTTGATTTTTTTCGCTTAATGAGACCAATTTACGAATTCTAATTAAAATACAAACTTAAATTCCCCGTGAAGTGTGCCTTTGCTGCTGCCGTGCTGCGCTGCAGTCGCGGCGCGGGCCTCGCGGGCCTCCGCGGCAAGCGCGCCCACAGTGGTGATCCGCGACTACGGGCCCCGCAGCAGCAGCAGCAGCGCAGTGCCCTTTCCCAACATCTTCAATGTGCAGCAAAGTTTTGCGCAGCGGCCCGCAGTGGTTTCCACCTTTTCCCGCGAGGGCCTCGCCACGGACATCGTCATAACCCCCCCCTCGAAGCAGCTCCCCACGTTCCCCTCCAAGGGCGGCGCTGCCATCAATGGTGGCATTAATAATGGCATTAATAATGGCATTAATAATGGCATTAATGGCGGCATTAATGGCGGCATTAATGGCGGCATTAATGGCGGCATTAATGGGGGCATTGATGGCGGCTTTAACAATGGCATGAACGGCGGCATTAACGGTGGCATTGACAACGGCTTCAACAATGGCATTAATGGCGGCGTTAATAATGGCACTAATGGCGGGGTTAATAATGGCATTAATGGTGGGGTTAATAATGGCATTGACAGTGGCATTAATAATGGCATTAACGGCGGCATCAATGGCGGCATTAATGGCGGCATTAATGGCGGCATTAATGGCGGAATCAGCAACAGCAAAGGCGGCATTAGCAGCGGCATTAATGGCGGAATCAGCAGCAGCAAAGGCGGCATTAGCAGTGGCATTAATGGCGGCTTGGGGGGCCCCGCGCAGAAAGGCGGGTGGGGCGATTTGGGGCAAATTCCAGTTCCTGTTAGCATGTCGAGGAGTGGCTTTAGTGCAGCACCGCAGAATGGCTCTTGGGGCGGGAACGGGGGCCCCAGCGTGGCCAGCATGTCCCGCAGCGCGGGCAGGGGCCCCTACATGACCAGCATATCTTTCGTTCAGAGGCGGCTGGAGAAGCTGCAAAGGGCCGATTAAAGATATTAATGATGAAATGTGAAGTGCAATTTCGTTTCTGGAAGACGCAGCGGCCCAAGACGCGCAAAGTTGCATGCAGAACCAGCAGCAGGCAGCTGCAGCAAACGCGTCTTGTGCAGAATTCAAGAATGCAAAACGCCAATCGGTTTGCCGGAAACTCCTCTTTTCACGCACTCTAGAGCAATTTCCTCGCAAATGGGACTTTCCAAACGGGGGAAATTGCAAAAATTTAAAAAAGAAGCAGCTGAAGTTTCAAGTTGCGTGCTCAGCTCTCCGGTGTACATACACACCAGGGGTTTCAGCGGCGCACGGCGACTTGCAAAACGGCCTGAGCCTTTTCAGAGTTGTTTTCTTCCGTTGCTTTCAACGAGTAAAATTTGTTGCTGGTGCTATTTGTGCTTCGCCACTTATTACACTTGTAAACTTAAAGGCGGCATTACGTTTCAGACTTGTAGTTGCATTGCGAACGGTGACAGGCCGAGAGGCACTGGGACCCTCCGGAAGACAGATCCGTCGACTCTAGCGCGACAAGAAACGAATCCACTCAGGAATTAGTGAATTAGCTCATTTAGTTTTAATTAATTGCGTTTTTTCCTGCACAAACAGGCTTGAGCGTCTAGTCCACGCGGTAGGGTGTCTCCGCAGGTCTGGGTGGGCTCGCGGGAAGCCAGCCACTGCCTCCAGCGCCGGCGCCGCAGACTTTTCGAAAGCAATTGGTATTTTCTTTCGCAGTTTTTACACTTTTTTAATTTCAAAAGTTCTTTTTCGCAGCTTCCCCGCGGCAGCCCGTTGATCGCAGCAGCTTTCGCTCCCAGCGCAGCCGAACCTGCTTCAGGTCTCTGCAATCTACCTGCCCCCCCCCGCGCGGATCATCTCGGAGATAAACAAAAATGGTAATTGCAGCAACTTCTCAAGGCTCTGGGAGCCAGGGAGCTGGCTTTTCAGGTGTCACGACAGCTGACGCAGCAGCAGCAGCAGCAGCAGCGGGCAACAGCTGCACGCAGGGCAGCTGCAGCGGGAACTCCACCTGGAGCTCCCAGGGCCTGCAGCTGGCCTGCAGCATGTGCGTCTGCGTCGTGGGCGGCGGCAACATTGCTGCTGCTGCTGCTGCTTGGCTCTCCCGCAGCAGCAAAAGTCTCTGTGTCCATGTCTTGACTCGCCAGCCGCAGCGCTGGTCGCAGCGCCTCCGCGTCCGCGCCAACCCGGCCTGCCGCTGGGCCGCCCTCCAGCCCTACGAGTGCAACATCAACCTGTGAGTCTCCTGCAGCAGCAGCAGCAGCAGCAAAAGCAGCAGCAGCAGCAGCAACGCAGCAGCAGCAGGAGTTGCGACGCAGCAGCAGCAGAAGTTGCGACGCAGCAGCGCAGCAGCAGCAGAAGTTGCGACGCAGCAGCAGCAGAAGTTGCGACGCAGCAGCAGCAGAAATTGCGACGCAGCAGCAGCAGCAGCGCAGCAGCAGCAGCACTGGCGTTGCTTGTTGTTTGTGCGCAGCATCACGAGCGATGCTGCAGCAGCAGTGAAGGGGGCGAGCCTGGTGATGGTGGCAGCTCCAGCTCATGTCCATTTGGAGCTGCTGCGCAAAGTCGCGCCCCACTTGAAGCCCGGCTGCATCCTGGGCACTCTCTTTGGCCAGGGTGCGCAGCAGCAGCAGCAGCAGCAGCAGCGCAGCAGCAGCAGCAGAGCAGCAAAGCACTGTGGTTTTCGCTTTGTGGCAGGACGTTTTAGGAGGAGACTGCAGCAAGAGTGCAGCACTGTTTGAAACCATTCTTCGCTTCCACTCTCCTAAACTGGCCCTGCTGCTGCTGCTGCTGCTGCTGCTGCTGCGCTGCAGGAGGCTTCGACTGGGCCGTGGAGGCGGCGCTGGGCCCCGCCCAGGGGCAGCTTGCTGCTGTCTTTGGGCTGCAGCACGTGCCTTGGCTGGCGCGTTGGGAAGTGCGTTTTAATTTAAATTTAATTTTAAATTAAAATATAAATATAAATATAAATATAAAAATAAAATTAAATTCAAACTAAAAATTGAATTTAAATTCTTTTTGCAGTTTAAATCCGCAGCTCGAAGCAGCTTCCCCAGCCCTCCTGCTGCAGCAGGCCCGCCAGCGAGCGAGGGGCCTCCACCGCTAACTTCCGCTGCTGCTGCTGTTGCTGCTGCTGCTGCTGCTGCAGGAGTACGGGAGGGCGGTGGAGCTGATTGGCCCGAAGGAGTTCATTTGTGCTGCTGTGTCGCCGCCTTGTGCGCGCCCAATGGTGCAGCTGCTGCTGCAGCTTTGCTTCGACCAGCCCTGCAAGTTGCTGCCGAACTTCTTGTGTCTCACGCTGACCCCCAGCAACCAGATCATACACCCCGCCAGGTCTGCTGCTGCTGCTGCTGCTGCGTTGGTGTTGTTGCTGCTGCCGCTGCTGCGTTTCTTTTGCTGCTGCTGCTGCTGCTGACTTCGAGGCTCAACGGGGGTTTGGCGTGGGGCTTGGCCTGGGAGCGTGGGGAGCGTGGCCTCTTTCGTTGCTGCTGCAGCTGCGGCAGAACTAAGTTTTGCTGCGGCTGCAGCTGCAGCAGAACTAAGTCTTGCTGCAGCTGCAGCTGCAGAAAAGCTGACTGCGTGCTTCTGGGGCTGTTGAACGGCTGCCTGCTGCTCGCTGAGAGCTCGCTGGCGCGCAGCAGCAGAATGTGAACGTGTGCTGCATGCAAGAACTCAGCAGCAGCTGCAGCAGCAGCTGCAGCAGCGGCAGCAGTTGAATTCCGAATCTGTGCAGCGCAAACGCCCTTCAGGTACTACTCCATCTTCAAGGACTGGGACGGAGAAAAGGTTTACAAAGAAAACGAAATCTCTTGGGGCCTTTACACGGAGTTCGACGCAGAGGCGGCGAAGCACCTCGCGCTGCTGGATGGCGAGCTGCAGGCCATCAAGAAAGCGCTGGTTTCTCGCTTTCCAAATCTAGATTTAAGCACTGTCTTGCCAATTCAAGAAAGAATCCTCCAACAATATGGTCGGTTTCCGTCGGATCGGCGGGCGGAAGCTCGTGCAGAACTGGGGTGTACGTACACCTCGCGGAAACGTGAACTGACGCGCCCCGCCGCACCCGCGAAACCTCACCTGATCTCTTCCATTTTAGCTTCTTTTCCTTTTCTTTTGCTTCAGGAGACGACGTTAGAGACCGCACCAACTTGCAAACCATTGTTGCCACAAACGGAGGCTATGCTTCCTGCCGGACTCCCGCAGCAGCAGTTGAAGGTGAGTGCCATTCTGTGTTTCGCCTTCTGAGGCAATAGAACCCGTTTTTTTGTTTTTTTCGTTTCTTTTTGTTTTCTTTTAATTAAAACGGCAAGAGTTTGCAAATTTCTCTCCCTATTTCACTTTTTTCCGGGCTTTCGGGCCCGGGGAGCAGCTCCTTTGGGCGCCCCGTCGCTCGCCGACGACATGAAAGGAGACGAAACTGTGTGGCAAATTAGCGGAAGTTGGCGGAAATAAAACGCAGAATTCGGTGGAACTGGTTGCAGTTGGTTGCAGGAGAGGAAAGCGGCTCCGAAAGCTCTCTTTGGTGCTGCGGAACTTGCGGAACTTGTGCTACTGCAGGCGGCTTCCAGCCGAACCTGCAAAGCCGGCTCTTCCAAGAAGACGTGCCGAGCGGGCTGTGCGTGTTGCGGGGCATAGCGGAGCTGGCGGGTGTACAGACACCCGAGATCGACTTGATGATCGAGTGGCACCAGAAGTTCATGAAAGTTCCATTTCTCAAAAACAAAAAACTCAACCAAGAAACTCTTCAACTCACAACTGCCCCCCAGCGCTACGGCATTTCCACTCTGGGCCATTTGGTGGCCACCACTCTCCGCGGCTGCGGCGCAGCGGCCCACAGCGCCAGCTAGACTGCAACAATTCATTCAACTTTCGCTTCAACTTTAATTCAATTAAGTTCAATTTAAGTCCAATACTTCGCATTAAAGTCCATTTCCCCGAATTCGGCACTCAGTTTTAATTAATTCCATCGAATTCTGCGTTTAATTTCACCTAATTGGATTTATTTCCATTTAATTTCGGTTGTTTTCGTTCAATTCCGTTTTCTCTTAATTCGACATTTAACTTTATTTATTTCCATTTAATTCCGCATTTAATTTCATCTATTTGCTGCTGCGCGGCCCTGCCGCCGCGGCCCACCAGCCCTTCTTAGCTGCATGCTGCTGCAGCTGCGTAGTTCTGCTGCAGCTGCTGCAGCTGTTCATTTCTGCTGCAGCTGCTGCAGCTGTTTATTCTCTTTCCCTGTTTGCACGGCAAACTAAATGCATATTAAAAGATCGACAGGAGGGCAAAGAAAAGAAGACTAGCAGCAGCAAAACAGCAGCAGCAGCAGCAGCAGGGTGAGGAGAGAAAGCAGCAGCAAGGAACAAAGTTGCAAGTTTCGAATTAGAGTTTGCTGCTGCAGCCAAGCCCGCCTCCGCAGCAGCTGCAGCGCTGGGGAGCAGCAGAAGCAGCAGTTTGTTTGCTTCGATTAAATCGAAATGCAAAAGAAAAGAAAAGACAAAGGCCCTTAATTAAGTCCATTTAAATGAAGGGCAACTTCCAAAAGAAAGCCCACTTTGCTTCTCGAGAAACAACTCCAGCTGCAGCAAACCCTCCTGGCAGCCAAAATGCAGCACTCGCGCTGCTGCTGCTGCTGCTGCAGCAGCAGCACGTTTCAAGTTGCCTGGGGCTCGCCTTGGTGCTTCATGCAGTTGCATTTCTCTCAGCCAATGCAGAGGCGGAAACAGTCGTTGAAAACTGCGCAGAAAAAGAAAGAAAAAAAGAAATGAAAAATTAAAGACGCAAAGTGAAGCGACAGCCCAAGTTTCGGGTGTATCGACAGCTCGGACCTTGCCGTTTCTTGCAAAGGCCGGCGAATTTACACAAATATATTTATTTATTTGAATACAACATATATATATCCTTTATATATTAAACAGTTTGTAATATTTGTGCAAATTTGTGCATTTATGCACTTCTTCACACCTGTGCAGCAGCAGCGGCAGCAGCAGCAGCAGCAGCAGCAGCGGAAAGCTGCGAGCCACCGCGGGAGTCAATTCTCTTTGAATCGAAATAAACATTTTAGTTCGCATATTAAGTCCAATTAAATAATTAAATGGATTTAAATTGCACAAAAAGACTTATTTTATTCTCAAGCACTTCGGGCTAGCCCAGTAATAAGAGGCCGCATTTGCGGCCAAGACGACCAAAATTCATCTTTTTTCTCAGAAAACCGAAATAAACCAAAATAAGCCAAAATAAGCCAAAATAAACCAAAACAAGCCAAAATATATCAAAACAAGCCAAAGTAAACCAAAATAAAGCCAAAATAAACCAAAATAAACCAAAATAAAGCCAAAATAAACCAAAATACAGCCAAAATGAACCAAAATGCAGCCAAAACGAACCAAAATGGAGCTGAATTGAACCGAAATAAAGTCAAAATAAGCCAAAATGAGCTCAAAAGGAGTAAAATAAACGCAAAAACAACAAAATAATATCAACACACCCCAAGGGGAACTCACCCGCGTAAGTGCCGCTGCCGTTGGGCACCAAATTGAAAGTCTGAGTGAACTTCATTGGGGGGTTGTCTTCTATGGCCAGATCGCCTGCAGCGCAGCAAAGGAGCAGCAAAAATGCGAATTAAATGCGAATTAAATGCAAAATAAATGCAACGTTTTGCTAATATTCTGTAAGTTTGAAATAAAGAAGTCCAAAATATCTTCAAAATCAAAAAAATATCAAAAATTCACAAAAATGAACACGAACTAGTGCCCCGCGAACGAAAGCTGTACAGACACCCGAAAAATGACCGCAGCAGCAGTGCAGAAAAGGGATAAATAAATAAATAAACAAATAATAATAAATAAACAAATAAACAATGATAAAATAGAACAATTAAAACGAAACAAACAAGACAATTCAGCAGGGAAGCTGTGGGAAATGGAAACTCCGAAAGAACAAAAAGACGCAGCAGCACCCCCTGCTGCTGCTGGCCAGATAGCTGCTGCTGCAGCAGCGCAGCAGCAGCAGCAGCAGCAGCAGGAAGGGCGGCGGCGGACCGCAAACTATGATGAGGACTCCGCCGTGGGGCGTGGGCTGGCAGTCGCAGGTGACCAGCTGGTGGCTGACAGCAGCAGGAAGCTGCTGCAGCTTCTGCACAATTGCTGCTGCTCCTCGGAACTGAGTTCCTTCATAAGTGAGCAGCGAGTTTTCCGTGTACAGCTCCGCCAAACCCGCCCTGCGCGCACCAACAACTGCTGCTGCTGCTGCTGCTGCTGCTGCTGTGCGTGCTGCTGCAGCTGCTGCTGCTGCAGCAGCTGTACGTGCTGCTGCAGCTGCTGCTGCAGCAGCCGCTGTATGTGCTGCTGTAGCTGTGGATGCACGTGCTGCTACAGGTGGTGCTGCTGTAGGTGCAGGTGCTGCTAAAGCTGCTGCTGCTGTAGCTGCAGGTGCTGCTAAAGCTGCAGGTGCTCCTGCTGCTGCTGCTGCTGCTGCTGCTGCTGCAGTTGGGGGATCTGGGAGTGCTGCTGCTGCTGCGGGAGGTGGAAAAGCCGGGAGGCGAGGGCCTCGTGGCTTCGAGGGGCTTTGTGGGGTTTGGGCTGAAGCAAAGGGAAGCAAAGAACTCATTCTGCTGCTGCTGCTGCTGCTGCTGCTGCTGCTGCTGCTGCAGTCACCTGTTGTTGCGGAAGGTCTCGTAGTACACCTGCACAAACTGCGGGCCGATGGAGTCGAAGTGGGGGTTTAGCTGCAGCATCCTCTCGGTCTGTTAAAAACAAAAATAAAAATAAAAATAAAAAATGAAAATAAAAGAAATATAAATTTAAATGATAAAAGAACACAGATGGAGGATTGTAGAGCAGAAGCAAGGGTGGATAAAGGAGAGAAGGACACACAAGACTTGAAGCGGAAAATACAGGTGCGTGCGTTGCTGCTGCCTTTGCTGCTGCATGCAGCAACAGCAGCAGCAACGCGTTCTCCCGCTTTTATCCGCTGCTGCTGCTGCTGCTGTTGTAAACACGGGGAGAGTCAGTTGGGGGCGTTGGGCAGAAGCGACACACAGTTAAAGCTGAACAGCAAAAGAGAAGGAAAAGACGAAACTGGAGCTGCGGAAGGACAGGCAGCTGAACAGCTGGCGGGGTCGAAAGAGGGAAACAGAGCGACGAGAAGGACGAAAAGCAAAAACTAAATGGTAGAATGAATCTAAAATTCTGAAAAACAAAGTAAAATGTGCAGTTTGCGTCCAGTTCAAGTCGCGCGGGCAGTGCGCAGTTGATTGGGGTGTACGTACACCGCAACCCAGCTTACCGAACGAGTCGCCAGGTGGTCCTCCAATTCCCCAGAACACTTTAATTTCTTTCTTTATTTTGGGATTCTTGTTGAAAACTCATCGCAATTTTTCGAGAAGTGCCGCCTCAGCGACTCCGAAGCCCTCACCCCCAGCCCCGCTGCTGCTCAACACAGCCCCAGCAGCTCCGGTGTTTACCTTTCTCTGTCTTCTGCACCTCCTGCTGCAGAAGGCGACTTTTAAATCAATTTAGAACAAATATTTTATTATTTTTCGTCCACACTTCTCCGCTTTCCCCGCAAAATCCGCCACCAACAGCCCTCCAGCGCCGCCCCCCTCTTGCAAGTGGTGCT